CTTAATGAAGATGAAATTATAGGAAAAGGACCCAATGGCACACTTAGTATGATTTTTGATGGAATTAAGAAATTGAACAAAGGTGAAAAGCATTTAAAGATTACTTGTGACAATGCTGGGGGACAAGATAAAAATAATGTAACAATTTGGCTTTATTTATATTTGGTAATTTGTGGTTATTTACAAAAGCATTGAACTAAATTTCATGGTTCCAGGTCATACCAAATTCAAATGTGATGGTAGTTTTGGCTTGATTAAAAAACTTTATAGAAAGACAAGGGTAGATTGTCTTGGACCATGTAGTTGATGTAGTGAAAAGATCTAGTCCAGCAGGATTGAATAAAGCTCAATGCTACAAGGTTTTCAATACTTAGATATCAAATCTATTTTAGGAATTTATTTTAAAAATTAAATGGCCTACAAAAATATCAACATTTTCTTTTTGAAGCATCTAATCTTGGTACAGTGAAAGTTCAAGAAATTGCTAATGGTTCTTTTGTTGAATTTAATTTATTAAAAATTAGGAGAACAGATATTTTTAAAGAAATTAGAGCTTTATCTACCTTAGTGTTAACACCAACTCCCTTGGATTACAAAAGACAAGAATATCTTTATCATAATATTTGTCCATTTGTGAAAGATGAATATAAAGATATTACTTGCCCAAGACCATTCTATACTGCCAACAAATAAAATATTTAGAATACATGTAAAATCACTTCCATGATTTTGTCACTCATTAATTTGTCCTTTACTGTCATTAAGTTTAATAAGTTTAATCTTTTTCCACTTTTAAAGTAAAAAAGTACTAAAATAATTTATATACTTAATGTACCCTCATAAAAAGTATATAAGTATATTAAAAAAAATAATTAAAAAAAAGGTAATAAAAAGAAAGTCATGACAAATGTTTTAACAGAAATCCAAGAAAGGAACAAAGAACTATCAAATCACATTGCTGATTTAGAAAAGAAATTAGTTGATAAAGGCAAAGAACTCAATGATTATAAAAATACAGGGGTAAGTGAGCAAGAGGAAGCAGAATTTAAGCAGAAAATTGATTAGCAAACCATTAAGAAATCAATTTATGACTGTTTGTTTTCAACATAGCCTTATGCATGACTATAAATGGGAAGGTAAAGAAAATCTAGGAAAAGTAGTTGAGAGAATTATTATAGATTACTTTGAAGACAGTGAGTTAGCCACTGAATTGAAAAAAAGATTGAAAACTATGAAATCAAAGAGCTTGTCTTTTTTCTCAAATAGAAGAAGGAGGTGATATTTGAGGCAAGCCTGCTAAGGATATAATTCTTAAAGACATTATTGGTGGTAAAGACCAAAAGATTAAAGAGTTAGTAACCAATAAGAAAAACTTGGAGGATAAGATGGAGGAGTTAGAAGAAAGAGTAGATATCAAAATTGAAACTAACTTGGAAGCAACTGGATCTATCCAAAAAATGACATGACAGAAAAGTTTTTGTAGAGAATATGAAGAGTGATGTCACTATCACTAAACAGAGAATAGAGAATGTCATATTAAAAAAGAAACTAGATGCTTATGAGAAAAAAGATAAAATCAAACAGATTAAAAGATTAACAAAGAAAGCAAAGACAAAAGTTAATGAGAGAGTTCAAAAACTTAAAGAGAAAGTTAATGTGATTAGAGAAAATTTTGAAACCTACCATTTTGCAAGAGTTTGAAAGTCACATTTTAAAGCAGTAATAGATTATTATGAAGAAGTTAGAATACAAAATTCTTGAAAGGATAAAATCATCTGTCCCATACTGCAATTACTGTGCAATTAGTGATGAGCCAGTCCTCCATGAAGATGATTCTACTGCTGATATTGGTTCTATTTGTGCTGATTGTAAGAAGGATTTTGAAAATGATAATCTTTCTTATTGTGAACTTTGTGGCAGGCTACAAAGAAATAGACAAGGTTGTTATTGCAGTTTGTTAAAAGATGGAAAATTCAGAACACTTTCCACAGAGGAAGGAACTTCCCAAACTATTGAATCTCATTTAGCAAAGAAAACCAAAGAACTTGAAAAGAAATTGAAAACTACCAAGGAGGAGTTGAATGTTGAAAGAGAAGAAATAGCCAAATTTCAGGAAAAGTCAGAAGAATGAAGTAAAAAGCAAAAACAAGAGTTAGATAAGATAAAAAGTTTAGAAGAAAAAATCAATCATCTAGAAGAAGAAAACAGTAAAATTAAAAGATCAACAGAATGGTCAATTAACTGCTCAAATTGAAGTCAAAGAGACTAAAAGATGATCTTGATTGAA